CTTTATCAAATATTATGTCTGAGGTTAAATTAAAGCTAGGCCCAAGTTCATCTGGGCTGAACAAGATACAGTTCTGTATGGAAGGAGGAAGGTAGTTATGACTTCTGGCCATCCACTGAAGTCTAATTCCTGACCCTGTCAGCCGTGAAATGGCAGGAGAACCTCCCCCTCACCATCCTCTCCCTCAACTCTCCTCTTCCCTGCCCTGTGCAGCACTTGTCAGGGATAGGGAATTTTAGATGGAGAATTTTAACCCCTTCCTGCTCAGAGTATGTGTGGATCCCCCTATCTGTGCAGATGGCAAGGCCCCGCCCCCCGTCCCTCACTCCAGCCTCTTGAGCTCAGAGCCAGTGTAATCCTCCTCTTGTGTGAGGAAGCCTTTCCCCTGCAGAGAGGAGGAAAGCCTGCCTCGGAACAGCTCTGGACAAAGGGGCTGAGATGCCCCATCAAACCACAGGCTCCAAGGTTTGAAACGGGTTGAAACCTAAATGGGATTTGCAGTTTAAACCCCTTGCCTAGGCTGGTAGTGCCCCTTAACTTCCACACCTCCCCCAACTCTCTTCATTCCCTCTGTAGCTGGCTCTCCCTCCATGCCCCTCCCCCTCTGTCTCCAGACTCTGCTGCTGGGAGGTGTTTCTCTCCCATGCATGAATGAGTCTCTGTAATGAATGGAAATGAATGGATCAGGAATCCAGGAAGGGGGAGGGGGAGGAGGAAAGACCAGAAGACTGGGTGCCGGCAGAAGCTAGGAGGAGGAACCTGGAGGGATTTTGGCTGGCTGGCCCTGGGTCTGAGAGGAGCTGGTACCACTTGGATAATAGGAGTATGGCTAGCCCTCCGCATTTGTTTATCCAGTGGCACAGCCCCGTGCGAGTGGAAGAGGGTATACTATGATGGCTTCCCACATCGTGTGTGTGCTGGGGGGTGATGGTGGTTCTGGACTAGGTGTTTAAAACATCATTTGGGGGTGGAGTTCTGGGTTTGTCATACAGATTAGCAGATCAAGGGGTGCAAGTTTTGAAGACAGCAAATAGGAAGCATGTGATACCTCAAGATCCACGTAGGAAGAAGGGATGGGTTTTAAGAATACAGGCTGCAAAGTGGGGTGACTTTACTGCTGAGAGCCAGGGCTCATCTTTCCTCCAATCAATCTGTCTTGTTTTAGCACCTCCGCACCTGTTGCCTCCATTAGCAGCTTTCCTTCCTCCTCCTTCCAATCCTCAGAACCAAAGAATGTGAAGGGGGTCCATGGAGGTGAGTGGAGCACTGTCCTTGACCCGCAAGTTCCTTCGACGGTACCCCCTCTCCTACCTACATTCTTACTTCCTATTATAGTAATAGATGCTATTACCTTGGCCCCAGTATCTTAACTTCCACCCATCCCACAACTTCTGGAGGTGAGCGGCACCAGTGTTCTCAGGTCAGGCCCCAGCCTACCACACACTCTAACTTTCCGTTCTTCGTGCCTTTGATGCCTTTGCATTTTCCATAGATCGGCCCTTCCCACTCTCTCCTCTACGTGCATCTTTCCCCACAGGGCTCACGTCCCCGCATCTTGGTCGGCCACCTAGAGCCTTCCCCGCCAGTTTTCGACGGCGAACTGGATCTGCAGCACTACTCCAACGGACCAGGTGTGAGCGCCGGGTCTCCTGGGATGGGAGCAGTGGGCTGGTCTGAGACTCGTGCAGGTGAACGGCGATTTCCCTGTCCTGTGTGCGGAAAGCGCTTCCGATTCAATTCCATCCTGGCTTTGCACCTGCGAGCACACCCGGGCGCCCAAGCCTTCCAGTGCCCACACTGTGGCCACCGAGCAGCTCAGCGGGCTCTGCTTCGCTCACATCTTCGAACGCACCAGCCCGAGCGCCCACGAAGCCCTGCTGCACGGCTGTTGCTGGAGTTGGAGGAACGCGCCCTGCTCCGTGAAGCCCAACTGGAGAGAGCCAGAACCTCAGGGGGCATGCAGGCCACCCCTGCTGCAGAGGGCCTGGCACGCCCTCAGGTTCCTCCCTCGTCTGCCTTCCGATGCCCTTTCTGCAAAGGCAAGTTTCGCACCTCCGCGGAGCGGGAACGCCACCTGCATATCCTGCATAGGCCCTGGAAGTGCAGCTTGTGCAGTTTTGGTTCCAGCCAGGAGGAGGAGTTGCTGCATCACAGTCTGACGGCCCATGGGGCTCCCGAGCGCCCCCTGGCGGCTACTTCTACACCCGAGCCCCAGCCTCCACCCCAGCCAGAACCCAGATCTGCCCTTGAGCCTGAGCCTGAGCCTGAGCCAGAGCCTGAACGGGAGGCAAACCCTACCCCGACTCCTGCACCTCCGGAGGAACCCCCGGCTCCACCTGAGTTCCGTTGCCAGGTGTGCGGCCAGAGCTTCACACAGTCCTGGTTTCTCAAGGGTCACATGCGCAAGCACAAGGCCTCCTTTGATCATGCATGCCCTGTGTGTGGCCGCTGCTTCAAGGAGCCCTGGTTCCTTAAGAACCACATGAAGGTGCACACCAGCAAGCTGGGTCCTTTGCGTGCCCCGGGGCCTGGCTCTACTCCTGCCAGGGCCCCTCAGCCTCCTGACCTGAGCCTGTTGGCTTATGAGCCACTAGGCCCTGCGCTTCTCCTGGCCCCAGCGCCCACCCCAGCTGAGCGCCGAGAGCCCCCAAGCCTCTTAGGCTACCTGAGTGTGCGAGCTGGGGAAGTACGACCCAATGGTGAGGGTGCTGACCCTGGAGCTGGCCGAAGCTATGGGGGATTCCGCCCGCTGCCTTCAGCTCTTCCCAATCGTGCTCGGCGGCACCGTACAGACGAACCGGAGGAGGAAGAAGAGGTGGTAGAGGCAGAAGAGGAGAGCTGGGCCCGGGGCAGGTCGCTGGGCACTCTGACTTCCCTGCACCCCAACTCAGGTGAGGGGTCAGGACAGTCTGCACCTGCCGTGGGGGCCCAGGCAAGATCTACGGCCACCCAAGGTAGGTCCACACTATTTCCCTCTGGGTCGCCTGCTTTTAGTTATCAACACTTGGGCCACCACTCCTGTAGTTTCCTTTTCAAAAGACCTGTCTTTACAGTCTTCTGGGCTTTTCCCTACTGGGAAAACCCTGTGTAAAAAGGTGTTAACTCTTAACAAATCTACGTTCCCCTAAACCCTTTCCTCTTGGGTCCAGAGAGGTGGTGGGTATAATGGGTGCCAGACTGGGACAAGACAGTGAGACCCTATAACTTCCGCTTAACGTGTTGCAGAAGAAAATGGGCTGCTGGTTGGAGGGACCCGATCCGAAGCGGGCCGCGGGGCCACTGGCAAGGACTGCCCCTTCTGTGGAAAGTCTTTCCGCTCGGCACATCACCTGAAAGTGCATCTTCGCGTGCACACAGGTTAGGGAAGCGTTCTTCATGGGGGCGGGTCTAGGAGCAAGAGAGGCAAGAGCCACCGCAAGGCTGGAGGTCATGCTGCACAGTCTTCAGATGGGCCAGCTTTCAGATTCATCTGAATCACTTAGTGGGGAATCGGCTTCTAAACCTTGGGGTGAAGTTTGTAAATTGAGCAAAATGTCGTGTGCGTGTGTGTATGAGTATGTGTGCACGCGCAGTGATGGTGACCCCATGACCTACTCTGACCCACTCTTCCCAGGTGAGCGTCCCTACAAGTGTCCACATTGCGACTATGCAGGCACCCAGTCGGGCTCGCTCAAGTATCACCTTCAGCGTCACCACCGAGAGCAGAGGAGCAGTGCAGGTCCTGGACCTCCTCCAGAACCCCCGCCCCCTGCCCCCAGGGGCTCAGCCTCACTGCAGCCGCAGTCGGGAGCCAAACCAACTCAGGCCTCTGCCACCTGGGTGGAGGGCACTGCGAGTACCAGGCCTCTTTCGAGCAGCACCGGACCAGGGCCCCGAAGAAAGCCTGCCAGCCCTGGGAGGACCCTGCGTAACGGGAGAGGTGGTGAGGCCGAGCCCCTGGACCTGTCCCTGCGGGCAGGCCCAGGAGGTGAGGCCGGGTCAGGGGGTGCCCTTCACCGCTGCCTCTTCTGCCCCTTTGCCACTGGAGCTCCTGAGCTCATGACCTTGCATCTGCAAGTACACCACAGCCGTCGAGCCCGGGGCCGCCGGCAGCCCCGAGCTGACACATCTCCACCCTATGTCCGAGCACCGTCAGGAGAGACACCTCCCAGCCCTCCACTAGAAGAGGAGGGCAGCCCAGGGCTGTCTAGATCTGGAGAGGCAGGTCTTGGGGGGCAAGAACGGTAGGAGTGCCCTCTTAGGAGTGATTAGCTTAGTAAGCTTACCCCGCAGGAGCTGGGAAGCGCTAGAGGTAGTTGGGTAGAGCAGCCAGCAGGGAGCAGTGTGGGACCCGTACCCCAGCCCAAGGCGGACCAAGAGGTGAAGAGGGCAGTGGGTGAAGGAGGGTGGGCAGGCAGTATCCACCCAGCCCAGGGGAGTCACAGTGCCTTAGAAGTGGCAGAGGTGAGGGTCAGAGAACGGGGTCCTAGGGCTGGTAGAGGATGCGCTCCTGCTGAGGAGCCGCCCTGCCAGCCTCTGCTGGTCCATAGGCTCGAGAGTTTATTTTTGTATAAGGGGTGGGGGTGGGGGGCACTGTACCCTTCTAGCCCTGTCAGGGGCCCTGTAGACGTTGCTATTTTTGGTACGATTCCTGTCATCCCTGTTGAAGAGTCATGTCCCCAATAAACAGGTGTCTTGAGGCACAAGGCCCTGTGTGTCTGCCTGTGTTTCGCTCTCCCTAAAGCGCTTCATTATCAATGAGCTCCAACGGGATGCAGACTTGAGATTCAGGAGCTCTGGATGGGGATCCTCCTCTACCGTAGCTCGTGGACATCACTAGATAATTACTGGGTTATGATGGACCCATCTGATCATCTCAGCTCCAAGACGTAGGTGCAAAATGGAGGAGGGACTTCAAAGAGCCCGTTGAATTTCTTAGAACCTCTGAGGGGGAGGCACGTCCTCCCACGCTATCAGCTTTGGGCCAGTAAAGGGCAGAACCGCTACTTTATGGCCTTGGTTTTATTTTCTGAGTCCTAGTTGGAGCTTCATAGGGAAGAACTCGAGTTAGTTCAAACACTGTAATCCAGAGGCCTGCTCTGGCCCTTGGGAGGCACAGTGAGAGCAAATACATTTAATATAGCAATAGTATAATAACAGTAATTACATATATAAAGTCTGCAATGCCCACCCATCTCCTTCAATGGCTTGTAACACTTCATTTCCCATGATACCCCAGAATGGGGTTCCATTCGACCTGGCAGAGATGAATCTCCTGGGAGAGTCAGGGACGAGAAGAGAGGTGGCAGTCAGCAGAGCCTGTCCTGCGGTGGTGTGCATAGCACAGGTGGGAAACGTGCGAGAAGGGATGTTTCCCTGCCCCCGGGGGCAGAAAGCAAGCTCCAAGCAGGGGAGAGCTAGAGAGAGCAGCCAGCGACAGGAGAAGCTCTGGTCCTTGCCCCCCTCTGTCCAGGAAGCAGAGGGAGGGAAATGAGTCCTCCATTCTGTCCCATTGGCATCTCAACCTAAAACATGCTGACAGGGGCGCAGTCAAGTGCTGGATCTTCTCTGGAAGCCAGGAGAGAAGAGGGAGATGGGTTGGAGAGGCAAGAAGCTGACTCCCATGCACTGGAGGCCAGGAAGGAAGGCACGCTGGATGTGGAAGAAGGATGGCTGACTTACCGCTCACAGAGGCGTGGTGGGGTCACTCAGGGCTCGCGAATGACTCTGAGGACACAGAAATGGCACTGGGTTTAGACATTTCTCTATTGCGTACGTCTCTCCCTGCTTCTTAAGGCTTTTTTTTTACCTCTGACCTTGATGCTTCTCAGCCAGGCCTGGGGAGAGGAGAAAGGCAGACTGGATAATAAACCCAATCTGTGGCATCAGCTGAGAGGACCAATCTCTAGTTCCTCTAAACTCCCCAATGTCGGATGGTCAGAAAAGCCTACCCAGAAAGAGAGCACCCGCTCCCAGCCTTACTGCAGGGACTTACCTGCCGGGAGAGCCCTAAGATCCCTCCACTGGCCAGAGAGGGAGTGCTGCTCCCAGGGTGCGGGGGCTGCAGGCTGGAGCCGGTTCTTGGTCCTGGGGACCCATCTCCAGAAGAGTCAAGTGTTTCTGAGGCTGGAGGGGAAGCTAGGATAAGAGTAGGCATAAAACTCTTCCAGATTACCTTAAACAACCAAGCTCCTCTGACAACAGGGAGCTGCGAGTCACCATAGCAATCCACTTGCAAGAGAACCCCCCTACCAAGAGGCAGGAAACTGTCAGCAGCATCATTAGAGCAACCAGGGAAGAAGCGACAGGAAACTAAGAATTGCTGTGGTGAACCGGGAGGGTACAACAGGAAGCTGAGGCAGTTTCCATAGAAACTCAAGGAGAGCTAGAAAGGTACAGAAGTGCTTCTTAGCAAAAGGCTGCTGTAAGCATCTCCCTAGCAACCAGATGGAAGGCTCTTTTAGCAACGGGGAAGCTGTATGTAGTTGTCATGGCAACTGGGCTACTTGGCTAGAAAAAGGAATTGCTTAGCAATAGGCAGCGGTTGGGGGCCACCCCTTGAGAGGCGCCTCACCCAGGGAAATCTGCTTGACGTCCAGATCCCAGGCCTCCTCCTCGACGCGGGCAGGCAGGGAGCAGGCTCCCGGCGAGAGGCCGGGAAGGGACGGGCCAGCATGCTCAAAGGAGGATACCGCTACGGAGGCCCGGGTGCGGGCGGCTGCAGAGAGTGGGGAGCGGGGTGGTGGGGTGCTGGGGTTGAAAAGTCCTCCTGGCTCCTGGAGGAGTCCCACATTTTGGGAAGAGTTGCCCACTCAGGACTCAGTATTTTTCCTAACGACTCCCCTTTGCTTTTTTATCATTGGTCAAGGCCTGACTGGGAGCACAGCCCCGCCCCCTGCACCCTGGACCTTACCTCTTCCGGTGAGCAGGGCACTCAGTGTCCGTTCTCCGAGGGCTTTAATGTCCAGGAAAGGTTTATTCCCAATGCCCATGGAAACCATCTGCTGCACGCGGAGCTCTAGGGAACAGAGACCCTGTTTGCAACCTTCTCTCGGCCCTCCCACCTCAGGGTTAGCACACTGCTGTTGACTCTCTTACCCTCCCCTTCTCCCCTTCCTTGACCAGCACGGCATAGACCATAAGGGTGATGTTTGGCCTCTTCAGACATGCATCTGTTCTTTGCTATATAGTTCATCCTGTCCATTTGGCACCTGGTGTGTGTGTGTGTGTGTGTGTGTGTGTGTGCATTTGCACATCTGGTGTGGATGAGGAATACACATTTGGAGGTTAGGGCACACTGGATGTCAGTTGATCTTCATTTTCCCCTGTGTTTATGGCTGACCTCTTGATTGTTTTTGGTGTGCATATGCCAGGATGGCTGCATGGCAAGCTTCTGGAGGAAATTCCTGTCAGTCTCCCATGTGCTCTGTAGCAGTGATGAAATTACAGATGTCCCTGTTACTACATTTGCAGTACTGCTGGCTTTTGTGTGGGTTCAGGGATTTGAACTCGGGTCTTCACACTTGCATGACAAGCACGTTTGTCGTAGACATTAAGAGCAAAACTCATCTTTTGTGCGTCTGCGTGACTTGTCAAGTGCTTCATGTGTCACCTACTCGACCCTCCCGTCACGCTGAGCTGAAGAGAGCACTTTGCCTTTTCCAGATTGATAGAATGATTCAGAAAATCACAACAACGAAACCCAAATCAAAGCCCAGTACCAACCAACAACAAAGAAAAGCTATTGGTCTGGGTCACACCAGTCCCCCTAAGCCCAGTCCAGTAAGCAGTTCTGCACCTCTTGTGGAGACATTTGCTCTTTCCTCAGAATTTCTAGCTTTCTCTTTCCTTACGGATAGTTCTGTCTCGGCCATAGCTCTTGCTTGAACCAGCCCTTGAGCTGTCTCTGAAGGCATCCTGTCATCTCCATACTCCAAGCTCCACCCATCTAGTCCGCCCATCACCTTTGTTGTGGGCTGCCTGTCTCCACAGCAGCTGGGCAATAGAACTTGTCCACTTGAGTTTGGTCTCTGGAGAGGCAGCCTGCAAAGTGTACGCTTCTCGTGTGCGCCGTCGCCGAAACCATAGCTCAAAACAGAGCCCACTCTCCCCGATGTTTTCCGTCAGCCCCATGTCAGCAGTCTGAGGGAGGGCAGGAGAGACAGCCCTGACTTACAGAAGGAAAAGAGGGCTCACGGAGACACGAAGCAACTGTCTCAAGAGCTTACCAGGGTTTTAGTAAGGATACACCCCCTATGTATGCTATTCCAAACACAGACCTTTGCCTCTGCCCTACCTCTGAAGAGCTGGAACTAACGCAGAACAGTTTGGAAACCGTTAGTACCACCTGACCCAGGACTGTGGGCTGCTATGGATGCTTATATCTGGTTAGTGCCCAAAGCAAGACCTGTCTCTTGAGTTCTATCTACTTCAGTGAAGTTAAGGGGTGTCTGTGTAACGTCTTTTCTCTTCACATACCAGGTACCACCTTTAACTCAAAACACACGTGTGGGTTTTTTGTTTTTTGAGACAGGATTTCTCTGTGTAGCCCAGGCTGGCCTGGAACTCAGAGATCCACCTGTCTCTGCCTCCCGAGTGCTGGGATTGAAGGACTGTGCCCACCACCACCCAGCAGGCATATGTGTTCTCATTCGGAAGGTCTTTTTTCCATTCTGTCTTGAAATGCCTCCATAAGTCTTCTGACACCCTAAAATTGATGACTAATTAGAGACCAAAACCTATTTTAGGTGATGGAGATTCTGAACCTGTTTGAGGTTAAACTTCCAGAATATCCTGAGTTCTTATGAAGACCATGGCTCAGTATCCCTACTCCATGCCATGTACCTTGAATGCCTGCTTGTAGGTGAAGGTCTCAGATCCCCCCTCAGAGCCCTTGAACTTGCTGAACAAGAGCAGGTCCTCGAAGAGAAAGACGTGGCGGAGGCACTTTTTCCGGCCACAAAAGACGGTGAATGGGTCCCGATGCAGGAGCTGTCCCTGTTCCTTCAGATCTAGCTGGAGAAAGGAGAAGGGACGGCTGGTTAGGGGCCTTGGTCAGGGAGGGCTTCAGCCTAATCCTTTCCCTGATTCTCATGCCCAACTGCCTAGCAGCTGCAATTCCTCCAAGTCTGTGCCCAGCCTGCCATGGTGAAGTTTTTGTGTACTGGAGATGCAGAAAGAAAGCCAGCAAAGAACATGGGTATGTTCATCTAAACCAGAGGTTCTCAACCTTCCTAGTGCCGAGACACTCGAAAGCCGTTCCTCATAAGGTGGTGACCCCCAACCATAAAATTATTTTCGTTGCTATTTTATAGCCATAATTTTGCTACTGTTATGAATTGTAATGTAACTATCTGTGTTTTCTGATGTTCTTAGGCAGCCCCCATTGAAAGGGTCATTTGACCTTGGAAGGGTTGCAACCCATGGGTTGAGAACCACCGATCTAGAGGGAGTGCAGTTCTAGCCTGATCCGGAATCAGTGTGGGAAAGAGATCAGGTTGAGTAAGAAGCAGTAGGCTAGACACGTGGAAACAGACAGGCAAGAAGAACCAGGAAAGGAGCGGACAAGCACAGGGCTCATGTAGAACAGAGGGTGTTGGATGTAATTGAGGCAATGAAGGACAGACAGTCTAGGGCCCTCAGACTTAGGGTCTGCTTTTATGGTCACAGCCTACACTGTTTCGAGACAGGGTTTCTCTGTAGCTCTAGAACAGGCTCTTGTAGACCAGGCTGGCCTCGAACTCACAGAGATCTGCCTGCCTCTGCCTCCCGGTGCTGGGATTAAAGGCATGCACCACCACCGCCCGGCTGCCTACACTGTTTCTAAGGCCACAGAGTTACAGTTTGAACAAGAGTCAGCAAAGGCCGGGACCTTACCTCACAGCCCCGCACAGCTTCTACTGCGAGCAGATCTCTGCCTCGGGCCTCTTGTTCCTGGAGCAACTGTACAGCGGTCCTGAGCGCCTGGCGCTCGGAGCTTAGCTCAGGCCCAGCTTCCCTCAGGAGCTCCTCCAGGAGCTGTCCATACCGAGCCAGCTGCTCCAGGGGCTGTTGAAGGGCCCGAGGCAAGCAAGGGCTGCTCTCCATAGAACCCTAGGGTAGAACCATAGCCTGGGATGAGAAGACCTGCGGCCAGGGCAGGGCCAGGGTGGGGGCCGGGGCTGGGGCCGGGCTGGGGCGGGGCCGAGGCTGGGGCGGGGCCCAAATCTGAAGACACGGATGTGATAGGCTGGGGTATACGCTTTGGGGAACAGAGGAAGACCTGGAGATATACTCTTAAAGGTAGAACAAGGGGCCTACAAGACGGCTCAGTGGGTAAACGTGTTTTCTACCAAGCCTGACAACCCGAGTTTCATCCCTGGGACCCACATGACAGAGAGATTGACTCATGGAGTTTCTCCTCTGGCCACACACACACACACACACACACACACGCATGTGTGGACACGTACACACACACACACACACCATTCAAGAAAAATGTAAAAAAAAATTTTTTTTTCAAAATAAAGAGAAAAAAATACAGATGTCAAAGAGATGGCCCAGAAGCTAAAGGCATTTGTCACCAAGCCTGGGAATCAAGCTCCATCCCTGGGAGTCCGGTGGTGAAAGGAGAGAACTAGCTTCTGTGAACCGTCCTATGACTTCCTCACACATGCTTGGCACACACGTGCACGCACCCCCCCCCCACACACACAGTGTAATTTTAAAAAGGAAAGGAGGCAGGCAGGGCCCCAGGAGATGTAGCTGTCTTGTGCTGAAGGGGAGCCAGCTCTCAGCCACTTATGCTTACACCTTTCACGCGAACTCCTTTGACCCTCAAGCGCCGGTGAGCCGGACAAAGTGCATACTGCCCTTGGTTATCACACGCAGAAACAGGCTTAGGGGCTGAAGAGACAGCTCAGCAGTCAGGAGCAGAGGACCTGGGCTCAATTCCCGGCACCCTATACATAGTGTCTCCTAAGTGTCTTTAACTCCACTTTAAGGTGACCTGATACCCTCTTCTGGCCTCCTTGTGCACTGGGTACAGTGCAGTACACATACGTACCACATACATATGTGCAGGCAAACAGCCACACGCATACAATAAAAATAAATAAATCTGCCAGGCAGTGGTGGCGCACGCCTTTAATCCCAGCACTTGGGAGGCAGAGGCAGGCCGATCTCAGTAAATTCAAGACCAACCTGGACTATTTAATGAGTTCGTGAAGGGTTGTGTTCTCTGAGAGGTCAAGCTGGGGTGAGTTTTTAGGTCTTCCTGGTTCCTTCTCTTACAAAATTTTCTCATTGTACTTTGTGTGTGTGCACACGTGCGTGCAGTCAGAACACGACACATTTTCAGGAACCACTTCTCTCATTCTACCATGTTGTTTCTGGGCTGGAACTCAGAGGCCGGTCTGGGAGGGAAGCATACCTTCCTGCCATCTCATCGACTCACTTTTCTTAGGGAGGTTTACCTTGGCCGAGGGGGTGAGTGCAGTCAGACCAGTCTCCAGTTTATGTCTGTGCTTCACGAACTGTGCATAGAGGTTGAACTGGTCCCCCTGTACCAGTAAGGAAGACGTAGTAAGTGTCCCTGGTGAGGGACCTGTGGATGCTTTTCTTCTCCCATCCCCACAGCCCGAGGAGGGATAAGCGGACAGCACTCTGCTGGCCAGGAATCAACAGTGAAGTTCATAGAACACCCGAAGACAAGTAACACTGGGCCAAGTTGAGGGACCGCACAAGAGGGAGGGAGGGGGAGAAGTGAGGGGGACTGTAGATAGGGCAGAATGCGGGAAGGGAGAAGATTTGGGAGTTTAGTGGGTTGCTCACATGGCGAAGGAAGCAGGCCCCAATGCGCAGGGGATGGGTGCTACAGCCCTGAAGCTCCTGTAGGAAGTGCGATCCGTGGAAGCTGCGAAGTCTCTCTCGGGCACTCAGGGCCGCGGCCCAGGTGCAACGAAGCTCGGGAGTGAGCTCGGGCCCAGGCGGTGGCACCGGCTCATTCAGAGCGGTGATGTACTCTTGCTCACAGGCAATCAGTTCCGACACTAGACGCTGCTGGGCACTGTAGGCACAACCAGAGTAGCAGAGGCATCACTAGGCATCACTCTGGCATGGGAAAGAGTCGCTGTCCCCGGCAGTTCTCTCCCGGTCTGAACTCTCACCTGATGCTGCGTTTGCGCTCCATTCGAGGGGTGCCTACTCCCCAGGGCCCATCTGGTCCTCCAGCCCGACCCAACAGCACGTGTTCTCGGGGTGAACACGTCCTGTCCACCACTTCAGTACTGGTGACTTCCAGGCCTCGGATCAGCACAGCCCTCGGAGGTCTTCCGTCTACTTCTGGAGCTAGCTCAAGGCCTTCCTCCTCATGGTCCTCCCCACACGGGGTCAGAGAGCAATGTGATGGGGCTGCCCGTGGTCCAGGGCTGCTGGGAAGAAGCAGGGAGCTGAGGCTGGGTGAAGGGCTGTGGGCTCCATGCTGGGCCCCTGTGCTGCTGGCGCTGTCTGCCCGTCGTCTTCTGTGGCCTCGAGGACTGGCCTCTTCTCCCAGCTGCTGCTGAATCCTTCTTTCCAGCTCTTGGCAGCGTGCCCGGCATCGGCCCCATTCTCGAAGGACTGCTGGGCTGCCCAGGTCCAGAGCCAGAGCTCGCATCTCCTGGAAGGTGCCCGCACTGGGCTCCGGGGCCCGCCGCAGGGCTAGGGCTGCCAGCACAGCGTCACGCCCAGGTCCAGCTCCCGCCAGCCGAGCAGAACCCTCATCTACCCATTCGTGAGCCTACAAAAGCCAAACAGGTTGTAGGTGGAGGAAAAAGGTAAGGGCACACGCCACTTCGAAACACGTATCCCACCGCCAATGGCTCCCTTGGGGCCTGCCCAGCATCACAGCATAACCTTGGAGATGGCACGGACACAGAGGAGCTAGTACTTACACACACAGCACGGAGTTAAGCTTGTACTAATTGCTTTCAAACAGTGCCTCACCTAACTTTCACAGCAGATGTGCAAATGTCTTCAAAGGACCTACCTCGGGTCATTCAGCCTGGGCAAGCTAAAAGCCAGAGTCAAGGAGACAGGCTTCTAAGGTACCACTCTTAGCCGCCGCCTGACCAACTTCTCCAGGCTGAAGAGAGAAAATCGGCTCAGGAGGGCGCTCTGCACCCACCTGTTGGAAGAAGCGCTGCAGCCGGAGCGCCCGATGGAGGCCACTCTCAACCTGCTCCAGCCGTTGTTCGAAGACATCCAGAACTTTCTGGGAGGCGATGTCTTCCTCCAGAGCCAAAGCTTCCCGGGCCTGGGCGAGGCGCTCCTGGAGAGAGGGATCTGAGCTCAGACCTGGTCCTCTCCCCGTGACCCCCACCCCCAACTCCTCTCAGTCGTTACCTGCACCTCAGTGCTGAAAGCCCGAAACCGCAGTTCTGTCTCTTGCAAGACCGAGAGTGAGTTCCCCGGCATGGCAAAGCTGGCCAGCTGCTCTTCCCCTGGGCCAGAAAGCCACTGCAACACCTGAGAGGGAAGGGGAGGTGGTGACCGGGCCAGGCTAAGACCCACTTGGCTGCCATCACCCCAAATGCAGTCTCTCTAGTGCTGTGAGACTCATACCGTGAATGACAACAGTTTTCACAGGATTAAATGAGAAGCTGGCTATGCCATCTTTGGTAAAGTGCTGTAGGATCAGAGCTGGGAGGAGACCGGGGTTATTGTGCCAGGGCCAGGCCAGGATGAGGAAACAAATAAGACGGACTCGCACCAAAGAAAGGAGGGATGAAAATTCCTTGGATAACAGGGCCAAGAGGAATTCTACATCTAATGTGTGGTGAGCAGGAACCTAGGCAGCAAGCCTGAAGACAGCCCAGGAGATGCGTGTGTTGTGTGCTCGTGTGCGCGCGCATGCGTGTGTATGTGTGTGTGCGTGTGTATGTGTGTGTGAGTGTGTATGTCTGTGTGTATCCAGTTCCAGTCCAACTTTCCTACTGTAGAGAATCTCCTACTCTTTCTGAAATGCTTGACTAATTTTTTCCTCCGAAGAAAGCCTGGAAGCTAGGGTGGAGCAGCTGGAAAATAAGAAGTCTCAGAATGTTCCTCAAAGTCAGTGCCAGCGAGAGCACTTTTGGAGTCCTCTACTGACTTCACGCCCCATCCTACCCACCTGTGTGCTGTCTGTACAGGACGGGCAACTCGGCAGCAACATCTATACATACCAGAGCTAGATCTCAAAGCTAAACACTTTTACATCCAAATTCTGTTTTCAAAGTAGGTTTTTAAATGGGCAGGGATATCTATTAGTAGGGGATAACCCTGGATGGAACAACAGAAGCCAGCAGGCAGCCTCAGAACACAAAAACCCTGGCTCCCTTTAGCACTGACTTTGAGATGACCCTTTTATACCTACATACAGATCCACGGGGTATATATTCACAGTACAGGAGCTAAGGAAAAACACCAGATTTTAAGTCCCTCTTCCCTTCACAGTGCACAGACAGCAAACTCCCACAGAGCTTAAATCCAGAAGAGAAGGACCAAGGTTCAGAGAAGCCAGTCTTATTCTTGAATCTTAAGAGGCCTGTGGTTCCTTTCAGTGGCTAACAATGTAGGAGGAGACAGGGCCTTTTTTCCTCCATTTTGGAGAATGGTAACACATAAGGAGTCAAGGAAAATGTGGAGCCAAAGAGCTCAGCTATTAACTACCAGGCTCAGTTAGGCTGGCATCCCCGCAAGGCGATGAAGGCGGGAGCATGAGGAGCACCAGCTACATAGTGACTTCCAGGCCAATCTGGGCCACATCAGATCTCCTCTCAGAAGACTCCCAAACAAATCAAAACTCGGTTGCACCGAGCCAACCAGCTGATTCCAGGGTTCCCTTTGGGCGGCGAACACTTCCCACAATATCTAATGATCCTGACCAAAGACAGACAGGAGGCTGACCTTCTGGCTTCTTTCTGCTGGTGCAGAGATGCTCCTGCCCTCGTGCTGAGTCTCACACTTCTATGACTGACCTCCAAGGGAGGAAGGAGGGATGCGGTTAAGCAGGGGCCAGGCTTCCAGGCTAAGGGTTTGGGGAATCTCCTCACCTGCTGGAGTTGGCGCAAGCGCTGGCGTTGTTCCTGCTTCTGCACGCGTAGGTTGGAGAGACGCACAAGTTGGTGGATGGCCTCATCTACCTCCTGGTATAACACAGCTGGGCCTGGACCCTCTAGCCTGGGGAAAGAGAGACGACACTGAGTCTCTGCCCTTGTCAAGCTCACCAGTTCTGCCTTTGTATCCGCAGGGATGCAAACATCGCAGGTGTCATGACAACGGGAATGAGGCTGCGAGGGTTATAAGTGTAAAGGCACGGCATCTTACAGGTAAAAGCAGAATAAAAATTATCTGTCACTTCAGGGTTAGGTCACCTCTCTGCGACCTGCCTCCCCGCACCCCCATTTGCCTCGCCACAGCCACACCCGACTCTCATACTTGCTGCTGTGGGTGGAGCGCATGCGCATCAGGACTGCTCCTCCAGTCCGCTGTAGCGCCGCCAGCCGAGGATCTGCCAGCACCTTTCGCAGGGGCTCGGGCGTTCCCACCGCCTCCTTGGGACACGGAGATACTCGGAGTTCCACTAACGCGCCAACCCCAGTCCCACCCCTTCCACACCCGCCATTAGTCCACCTGGGTCTACACCTCTTCCTTTGCTTCCGCTGCTCCCTCTAGCTCCTTGATGGCCTGTTGCACAGAGGCCAACACACCCTGGCACAAGCTGCACAGCCTTGCCACCTCCTGCAATCCACATACAGAGATGGAGGTAAGGGCCGGGTTCAGGGTAAGAAACACAATGGGCATAGCGGGTCTTTCTGTAGTCCCAGCACTCGGGAGGCAGAGGTGGGTGGATCTCTGAGTCTGAGGCCAGCTGGCCTGCATACTCAGTCCCAGGACAGCCAGAGTTATAAAGAGAGACCCTGTCTCAAAAACAAAGAAAGGAAAATAAATAAACGTAGAGACAAATAAACAAATAAATAAAATAAAAAAACCACAGGATGGAGATGGAGTCCTGGTGACCTTTGTGGAAATAATGCTAGGTTTAGTTTGTTTCTGAGTTTGTTGCTTCCAAGTTATACAATATTGGGCAAGCCCACAATTCCTAAAATTCATTTTATTCAATAGTAAAGTCAGAATAAATATAGATTTTGTAAAATCTAAGGAAGTGATATCAGCCTGGCACTGGAATGGTTGCAGCACACAGGACAGCTTGGTATGTGAGTTTCCTTTGCCATCCTGCCTTGGTCTTCACTCTGCCAAGCCCCGTCTCCAGCTCTCCATATCTTCTGCGCTAAGAACTATTTGTAGTCAACTGTGATCACGCTGATTCCTCTATTCTTAAGCACTTACTACACTTAGGTTCAGAGAAGCGTGAAGGTAAGCGACAGAGGCTCTCTAGAGACCACGCCAAGGGGGAAGATCCTGCACCTTGTGGATATATATATATATATATATATATAGAGAGAGAGAGAGAGAGAGAGAGAGAAGGCACTAAAGGCACCATCTCCAGAAGTGATGTAAAGTCACATGGAACCAACTCCGAGCACTTTCTAGACACCAACAAAGCTATCACAAATACTTCCCTGCGTGTTTTATATCTTAAAAGCCCCTACTAGAAAGCATCCATTAAGGTTAATAATCTGACACACTTGGGGGGCAGGGAGCTGGAAAGATTGCTCAGTGGTATTTTTCTTCCAGAGGACCCAGGTTTGATTCCCAGCACTCACATGTGGTTCTGATGGCTCCAGTCTCTAGGGACACCCACATGCGTGGCGTTTACTTACACAGACACAGAGACACATGTACACGCTTAAAAATGAAACAAATCTTACAAAATTAAAAAATATTACAAAGGTGGGTGGTAACTGAAAAGACAGTTTACAGGTTGAAAGCACTTGTTGCTCTTGCAGAGAACTTGTGTTGAGTACACAGACCCACAGGGTGGCTCACAACCTTCTGAAACTCCAATTCCCGGGTATCAGATGCCCTCTTCTGGGTTTTCTGGGCACCTGGCACATGTGTGCCTGAAAATACATGTATGTGGAGCATATACATATATGCAGGCAAAATATTCATACACATAAGATAAAAAAATAATTTAGCGAACCCTTCCCATCTTCACAGCGGCCAACAGCATCTGATCAAGGTTCAGGAGTCAGAACTATTTTGTGAACTGAACGGAACCGTATCTCTCCCAGCCCCATGGTTATGCCTGTCTTTGTCTTCCGCCTACATTTCCAGCTCTCAGATTTCTAGGTGCTGTTTACCTGATGTATCTCCACCCAGTGGTTGGGGGAGAGGTCCCTGTGACCCCCCAAGTCCCATGGGAGCTCCTCTGGCTTGGCCACTCTTTTCAGGTCCTTTTCTGACAATGGCTCAGCTCCCTGTAGACACAGGAAAGCAGGAGAGTTTTGCGCAGGCCCCTTGGGATTCAGTGAGCTTCCCCTCCCTTTTCCCTCGCTGACGTGGGGGGGACAGTAGTGGACGAGAACCTACCTTAAGTCCACAGAGTTCAGGTGGAGGGTCTTCATGAGTGAGAATCACCAGCCGCTGAATGAGCGGAGGGTTGCCTGAGTCCTAAGTGCAAAGAAAAATAGCCCTAAACTTTGGACAGTTGGATGGCCTGGCATGGCTGCCACTGGAGAAAAGCGAGGACCTCGAGACATGCCTGTCACGGGTTGTTGATTACCTGAAGCTGACTCAAGGCAGGAATAAGTGCTGGAGGCAGTGGGGGTGCCTTGCGAAGGTCAAGCAGGGTGGTTAGCCCCAATAACTGGAGATCAGGCCTGTGGAGGTAAGGAGAACCAAAAAAGACATGTGTGCGTGCGTGCATGTGTGTGCGTGTGTATGTGCACGTGCGTGCATGTGTGTGTGTGTGTATGTGTGTGTGTGCGCACGTGCACACGCTGAGGAGACAGCAAACAGAACAGAAGAAAGCGCAGGTCATCTGGCTTGGTGCTAACAGCCTTCAGAAGTTAACGCTACTATATTTGGGAAGCAATGAGCAAACGGCCGAGGTCTGGGACATTTGCCCAGCAGGCGACCTAACAATCACAAGCCTACACTGACATGGCTACTGGGTGGGAGGACTAAAACTCGATGTGCTATGATGGATACATCCAAGGCCTTAGCGTTTATCTGAGGTACTCAGCGTCACAAAGTATTTGCTGTCTGAATGATTCTGCGCACTGATAATCTGGGCTCTACCGCAGAGGCGAAAGAGCCAGCAGTGTTGATTTTGAAAACCACGAAGCCATCCTGGAAGTCAGAATTGGTCAAGGTGGACGGCCTGGAAACCGAGGCCTGGAAGTCGCAGGCAGTGCCTTGAGAAAGAAAGCAGCTCCCCCGACTGCGACTGCGCTAAGGCCCAGGGTGCTGAAGCTGGCCGCGTTTACCTCAGCAGCGAGTGCAGGTAACGAAGGGCGCTGCTCAATGTCTCTTCTGAGGGCTCCTCAGGCAGGCACGGAGGTGTGATCATCAGCAAAGCTCTCCCAGTCTGATCGACCCCTCCTGAAGACAGAAAACGGCCAGGCTATCCTGGCTGGGAGCAACCTTTGACTATCTCCCCACCACCTTCCCTCCTGCCCACCCTCCCTGTGTGTGTGCTTGGCATGTCCTTGTTTGTGTGCATACACGTGTACGTGTGTGGAGGCCAGAGGTCAATGTAAGCTCTTTTGCGATCATTTTCCACAGGAACTCTCACTAAACTTGGATTATCTCTGGCTCAGCTAGACTGCCTGGGCAATGAACACCAGTTCCCTTTTCCTTCCAGCGCTGGGTTACAGATCAGTGCCGTGTCCAGCTTTCCTGTGGGTGCTGGGGATTTGAACTCAGCCCTCCTGCTTGTGAAGCGGGCACTTTACCAGCTGAGCCATCTCCCCAGCCCCTTTCCTCTTATTCACAGATGCCCACTGACCAGTCAGAACGAAGAATCCTGATGCCATCAAGTCCCAAGCTACAGGTGGGTTATCCAAGATGGAAACTGGGGGTGTTTCTTCTGGGGTGCTGTCTTTTACATCCTGCAAAGTCTCCAGAGGCTGTTTTGGGGGGTCAGATAGGATGATCCCTGGACCTGTGGATCCTGTGCAGATAGAGGCAGAGTTACTCTATTCTGTTACCAGCTAGACCACAGCTTCTCCTCCAGTCCCCTTCCCGAGGCCCAGCCTGCCCTGGCCCTTGCCCCTGGGCCTGTCATCTCACCTGCTGTACACACCGGGATCGACTCCTCTTGTTCACTCTCTCTGATCCCCTCTTCTGGAGGCCCTCTGTCTTCTGGGGGTGCAGGCTCTTTTCCGTCTGCTGGCTTGAATTCCTCTTTTGGTTCAGACTCTGGCTTTTCAGAATCCTCTTTCTCCTTAAGCGGGCTGCATTCTGCAGGTTCCTGTTCACTGGGTGAGGCCAGGCTGACGGGGGCTTCCTGATGCCTAGTCGCTTCCTTGTCCCTGGAGCTGACTGGGTTACCATCCCCTTTCAAGGCAGCTCTGCCCGCAGCCCGCTTCTTTCTTCTGTTTCCTTTGCCTGTTCTTCGAGGGGTACCAGGTGGTCCTCCAGCCTCCCCTGCCAGGAGGCAGGATTCAGAGGCCTCCCCCAGAGCCTCTGCTGGGGGCTCAGATGACTCCAGGGCTGTTGCTTCTGGGTCCGCCTCAGCTCCTGGGGGTGAGTCCGAAGTGGCCCCAGTGCTGCTCCCCTCACCAGGTGGGCGTGCCCCATCCTGGTCCCGAGCCCCTAGGCTTTTCTGGTGCATCCATGCCCTGTGTCTCCGGTGCCGGCCCTTCCCTCCAGTACTCTTACGGGTGGGCACTGTGCGGGTCCTGGAGAGGCCCGAGGCCTCAGCATCTACGGGGTTTCCCCTCATATGAGGCAGTGTTACCTCCAACAGTTCTACATATTCTCCCTCTGGACCTTCAGCAGGGGCATTGTGTCCATCTCCAGGACTCCGGGTACCCAGCACCTCCTCGGGGAGTGGAGAGCTAGGAAGCCCCGGAGGTCCAGAGGGCAGTTCCGGAGGTGGTGTGCTTGGCTGATGTCCGACCATGAAGCCCTCTTTGTGCACAAATCTTGGGCAGATGAGCTCAGCCCAGGGAAGCCTCTGAATTCCAGAGGGTGCAGACAGGAGGCAGGTGCTGAGGCGCCCTGTTGGCCGGTCCTTGTTAACGCCTTGCAGCCACTCGGGGGTGAATAGGTAGGCACAGGCTTCATTGGGCACTGGCAGCTCCTGGACCCGTCCACCTCCTGGGGCCAGACATTTCAGTGCCAGACGGGGAGCCTGGGCTGCTGAGGGTACTACCTGCAGGTAGAAGTCGCCAGGGCGCAGCAGCTGCCAGGGAAGGGCTGCTAGCTGTACCACTATCTGCTCATGCAAGCAGAGTGGCCAGCCCTCGTGGAAGAAGAGGAATCCACTATACTGGGCCTGGAAACAAAGAAGCAAGAGGCTATACTCAAGGCCTCTGCTGAAGAAACCAGCAAGCAGTGGGAGGGGCATTGTGAGGATGAGTCTACACTAGGCAGGGCTGGCCTTACATCTGGTGGGTTAAAACCCCTAGGGGACAGGAAAGGAGACCACGTGGCAGAGGAAAGAACCAAAGTCGTTGATCCTTTGGTGGAAGGAAGCTTTCCTAGACAGCCAGCTGCGTATGTGGGAAGGTAAGGACCCAGTCAGTACAGCATCACCAGATGCCACTGCCTTGGCAAAATCAAAGACTGTTGGTGTTTCTATCTGCAGAGTGAAGACTTTTCTGAATCACGTCTGAGTCTGAGGGAGTATCCTAAGACATTCACAAGGAGGACATGTTTGAAACTTGTTCTGAAAAAGTCAGGGTCTTTTTGGGGGGAAGTTGATGTTTGTTAAGAGTCTATAGTTAAGGAAAATAAATATACCTGTATATGTGTTAGTGTTTGAGTGGTCACAGTCAGTGGGAGGTCAGTAAATGAGACCTAAGGGTTCCTGTGGAGAACAGGATTGGGAAGACTGTGTCTCTAAGTGGGTGGAAATTAGCCTGACAGAAAAGGGTTAACAGCCACTCACACAGGCTTCCTGCTGGACCTTGGCAAGCAGGTGTTTAGCAGGTACCAGGAAGTCCAGCGTGTACCTCAGCGCATCCTCCTGGTAAGTCCTCTCCACCACCTGGAACACTTGGCCCAACAGGGTCGGTGCTGTGGCTTCAAAGGGTGGGTACAAGGCAGCCAGTGTGCTTTGCACACAATCCTCCACTGGCTCAGGCTCCTGGGAGAGACAAGACCAAGCTATAGATAACTAGAGCTTACACTAGCACGGCTCTTGGGCAGGTCGCTGGTCTGCAGATAGCTATGTCCTAGATCATATGAGCACAGCGGGTAATCAGAAAATGCTGGCTGAATGAGCCAAAGGATAGGAATGGGGTTTGGTTAGTCAGTACCTCCAGGCTTACCCTGGCTTCACATTTAAGGATAGGAATGGGGTTTGGTTAGTCAGTACATCCAGGTTTACCCTGGCTTCACATTTAAGCTCTGAGACCTTGGCTTTAGAGATGCAGGGAGACTTTGTTATGAATGACTCTGATCAGGATTGTTCCAGGTACTTGTAAATTAGGGTGACTGCATGGATTCACCTGCACAGGTTGGGCCACTTGACCTCCCTGATGGTCATGAATTCTGGTAGATGGGGAAGGGTTTCTACATAGCCATCTAGCCAATAGAGTTTCCCAGAACTCACCATCCGGATACCTTTATCATAAGTGGAGGTGTGCCCACCCACAAACCATGGCATCCTAGAGATGGCTGACTGATAGGTGGGAAGAAAGAAGACAATAAGCCTGTGGCTGTCTCAGTTCTTTGTGGCATCCTTTTCTTCCATTCACAGAGCCTGCCGGATTGGCTGTCATGAACTGGCTGGGGCCACGTGAAAGAAGATAGAGACAAATGGAACTCTTGCAGAAGAGAGGAGAAGTCTTGATGCTATGCAATCCCGTTGAATTTTACCTGGACCTCAAAGACTAAACATTTTATCTAGTCTCAAAGACTAAGCCATGTCCCATTCTGACCCACTTCCCTAAGTGAATCATTGGGGTAACTTTCTTCAGCTCATTCCCTAAACAAAATCCCTCGGGTCTGTTTCTTTGCAAATCTTTCAAAATGGCTTTTTAGTTTCTTTTCTCAAACGTCTTTGTTGTAAACAAAGAATGGGGCACTCTGCAATATTTACCGAGCTCTCAACCCATAGCAAACAGTCCTGGTTTCGCTCCAAGACAAAAATTGCTTGTTTTACTCTCCAGCCAGAGTTGCTTAATCCCGGCTGTTTGAAAAGATTAGGGTATTCAGTCACCCCCAGAGACCAGCATTCTGTATTATCAGCGCTCAGACTCGGCCCCAAGGTGTGGGCGAGCAGACAGACCCTCAGTGTTGCCGGGACTGTGTACGTGGGTGGGGAAAAAGGGTAGGGGTGAGGCTGAGTGGGCCTGGGCTCTGAAGTTAGGATCGGGGCGCTACAGCATGAGTAGCTAAGCAGCTGCAACCCATTAGGGGCGGTGAGCTCACGGCTGAACAAGAGTCGCAGCCACAGGAAACGGCCTCAGCAGGAGGGGAGGAGGGGTCTGGAGCAGGCGGAGGTGGGCAGGAGCCCAAGACACCAGGCCTCTGATCGGCGGGGACCAGAAAGACAGGCGAGACTGAGTCAGCTCTCACTGGCCTAGTTCCTGTCTAGCTCCAACCCCCTGAGCAGGGTGATGCCTCCCGGGCTCTCTCCGTAGGCATCGCCCCGGGCAGGGCCTCTCCCCCTCCTCCACTCTGCAGTGAGTGCGGTAGGCTGCACCGTCTGGACAGTGGGCGCCCTCGCTAGCAGAGCCCACTCCTGCCGTAGTTTTTCAGGGTACGTCTGGCCGGAAAGTTCCAGGCTTAGCGTTCGATCCCGTTGACACGGGCTTCTGGTACCCTGAGTCGCTGCCCTCGGAGCCTCGTCCTCGTGCATAGGATTCCATCCAGTTCCCTCCTTGCAGCGGGAGGGCTCTGAGGCAGGCTCCTGTTCCCTGCAGCGGCGTGAGCCTTGGGGAACTTTGTCCCAAAACTCTGGTTTTGGCTCTGGATACGTCACGCCCACTGGTACTGCGGAACACCCCCTACCCACCCTCAAACTGCCCCCTTTCTGTGAGGGAATTTCCCTTTGGACATGCCCTTTGGCCCTGACCCAGCCACAGCTGTGACGAGTCCCTCAGGGCCGGATGGGTGGGCCCACCTCACCGGCTTGGGGACAGGGATGGAAAATGGTGGTTCCAGGCAGGTCAGTTCTCATGACCCGAGGCAGAGCCCTTTCCAGGGCTGCCACCATACCAACTCGCAGAGGGTCTCCAGGAGTGAAAAACTGGGATGGGGAGGGGGAGGGAAGTTTCGGGAGCAGAAGACTGGGTAGGACAGAGAAGGCCGGGGGTGGGCTGTGTGCAAAGATCACGGAAAGATGGGGAGGCTGCAGAGAAGAAAGAAAGGGTCACCGAGTACGGTGGGGACTGGGCAGGCAGCGGCCGGCAGATAGAAGAAAAGAAGGGGGATGGGAGGGTGGAGAGTCTTCGGGGCGCCCAGCAGCGCTAGGCAGGCACAGAAGGCATGGGGCTGGGGACTCGGAGCGGGCTGCACGAAGGCCGAGGGAACACCGGGATGCGACGCGGGACTCACCATGGCTCAACGTCCGGAGGCGTCCGATTCTCCGGCGGGTGGGTCGGCGGGGCCCGTCGGCCACCGCCTCCCTGCCGGCGCTCGATCTCGCCGGGTCTGGCTGCAGGACAGCTCGCACGGCGGCCGCGGCTCCGTCCGCTCGCTCGCTCACTCGCTGGGGCGCCCAGGCCGCGGGGCCCCGCCAGGGAGGGCCGAGACGGCCGCCTGCACCGCCCCGCCCAGCCCGGGACCCCAGCCGAGACGCCCCCTCCGTCGCAAGCCTCGCCTCCGCTCCCCTCGCTGTCCACTGCCAGCCCGCCCCGCCCCCGCCCCCTCCGAGAACCGCCCAGCCGAGGACGCCCCGGGTTTCCCGCGTCCTCTCGCTCTGCGTGATCCGTTCAGCCTTATTTCTGGACGCTGCAGAGATCTCTCGTCTAGGATCGAGGTTGTCGAGCGGCCAGAAGCCTTCTTCCATCTCTGAGACTCATGACGCTTCTCCCTGCGGTCCGTGGCCACACGCTCCGGTTCCCCGCAGGTAGAGCTGAGGGCAGAGAAAGTAGGGGATCCCCCAGCCTTGGGCGTTTGCCCGCCCTTCTTCCCCTTCCACCTTCTTGGGTCTCGAGAGTCCAGACAACTACAATGGGCTTCTGTGTGCTGCCTGGGGAGGGCGGGGGATGAGAGGGGAATTATGGAGAAGCAAAGGCTTGGCATGGGGGTGGGTGTCGTGCCTCTGGATCACGATCCTTCTGTAGGGTATGGGCGCGTTTTCGGAGTTGCTCCTCTCTGCCTTTTTCTGAACCTCATACCCCTGTATGAGGATGAAGGAGGGGAGGCAGCAGCTCCTGGCCTGGATCCCATACTGGTACTGATGCTAGCTAGATCTGGCTTGTTGCAGGGCGATAGTGGCCCGCCACCGCTAGGGTTCTCCACAGTGACTGTTATCTTACTCTGCAGACTAAAGGAGCTAGATTCCTTTCAAAAGTTCTAGGCTCACCCCTTATGTCCCACCGACAAACAGTATCGCTTCTGCGTGGGAAATGAAAGACAGGTGGGTTCTCCCAGAAGAGATTGGGCGACCTCAGCACAGCAAGGGGTTACCTCTGAGTCACAGCGTACTCGCCCAAAAGGTGGACCTTTGCGAGGCGATCTGAGAGCTTCCCAGTTCCCAGAGAGAACTTAAAGGTACTGTCACTGCAGGATGAGGGTAAAGTTTGTGTAAAAGATGTGTAGCGGTGGTTACAGTCCGATGAGGTTGCAACGACGGAACCCAGGCAACAGCACCGAGGAGAGGGAAGGGCCTCTGTGACAAATGACACTTCTCCCCTCAGGAGAAACTGCCTTTTCCCCTCTGGGTCTGGGGAAGGAAGAAACTCAAGGAAAGAGCCATCTGGTTCATAGGATTCAAACAGAACCTCGGGAAGGGGAACCCTATGACCTTAGGCTAGACCCGCGTAGATGGAACTGGTTCTAACCTTCTGGCAAGCTAGACTCCCCACTTTCCTTATCATTAATGCACAGGAGCCAAGAGAATGAGATTTTGCTACCCCCCTGGTGTCTGCCGGGTAAATACTGCCCTGAAGTAGGCTGTGGAGACCTTCTTGGGAAGCTTTTCTAGATGATGTTTCACGAACCTTGCTCATCATGGCCTACAATCTAGCTCACCTGTCCTTGGTGTGGAAAGACTGAACCTTCCCATACTGGAACTTAGCGGTTCTCATACCCAGATCATTTGGTAGAATCCAAGGTTCCCTACATAGGCAGTGAGACATAGACACACACAATGGGAAAATCATCCGGAAGGTTTGAACAGGCTAACCCCTTCTTTCCATGGGGTGTGTGTGTGCTTAAACAGCCCTTTCTCCATAGGCATGACTTACCTATATGTGTGTACAATGTAATCTGTGAGGTGTGTGCTCTTTGATAAGGGAGATGGGAAGATATTCAAATAGGCCCTCTCCTGCATTACAGATCCCTTTCTCTGTGCTTTATGTAATGTGTGTTCTTTGAAACGTAGCAAATTTCTGTTTCATAGAAGGAAAAGTTTAATTTTGTTGAAATTATGTAGCTTTCTATATGCAGTACAGTAAAGGGGATGAGCCAGGGCCTGGGCCCAGCTGTCTGACTTCAGGATTTTCATTCTTAACCAAGTTGTAAGTTCTAGAACGTTAGGTGTCAAAGTCCGTTAAAGAACTCCACTCTGTCACCTTTTCTACCACCTCACCACTCCATTAAAAACATGGGGAGTCAGTGAGGAGCGGGGAATGTGTCTGGGCCAGACTTGGTATAGAATAATAGTGAAATTAATTCCTGAGAAGTTCCTGTGTGGTTCTAATGGAAAATAAATAAATAAATAGTATTCAATTAGCATATCGTATCAGTTCTGTTTTGGTGTGATTTTTCATTACTTTTGGTTTTATTTGATTCAAAACATTTCTTTCAGAGCTTATAACTCATGGGACTGGAGTGATGGCTCAGTGGTTGAGATCCTTCATTGCTCGTGCAGTGGGCCTGGGTTCAGTTCCCATAATGCACGTGGTGGTCCACAATCGCCTACAACTCCAGTTCCACAGATTTGTTATGTTCTTCTGACACACGTGATACATATGCAAACATAAAATAAATCAATTTATTGTAACTTGTTTTCTTTCCTGACCTAGGTGCCATCAGAACCAGCCACTAATGAATACCACGACTGGCCTACTGACCCTACTTTGACCTTCTAATAAACTATTCTCTGCTTTCTAAGTGACATTTTAAATATTAGTCAGGGCCCATGAGCTGGCTCAGTCAGTAAAGGTGCTTGCTGCCAAGCCTGACAGCTAAGTTCTGTCCCCAGGCACACACGGTGGGAGGAGTGAACCAAGCCGCAGGCTGTCCTGTAGCCTGCACACTGCACACACAAGCTGTCCTGTAGCCTGCACACTGCACACACAAGCTGTCCTGTAGCCTGCACACTGCACACACAAGCTGTCCTCTGGTCTGCACACTGCACACACAAGCTGTCCTGTAGTCTGCACACTGCACACACAAGCTGTCCTGTAGCCTGCACACTGCACACACAAGCTGTCCTGTAGTCTGCACACTGCACACACAAGCTGTCCTGTAGTCTCCACACTGCACACACAAGCTGTTCTGTAGTCTCCACACTGCACACACACAAGCTGTCCTGTAGTCTCCACACTGCACACACAAGCTGTCCTGTAGTCTCCACACTGCACACACAAGCTGTCCTGTAGCCTGCACACCGCACACACAAGCTGTCCTGTAGTCTCCACACTGCACACACAAGCTGTTCTGTAGTCTCCACACTGCACACACACAAGCTGTCCTGTAGTCTGCACACTGCACACACAAGCTGTCCTGTAGCCTGCACACTGCACACACAAGCTGTCCTGTAGCCTGCACACTGCACACACAAGCTGTCCTGTAGCCTGCACATGTACACACAGAAGCTGTCCTGTATCCTCCACACTGCACACACAAGCTGTCCTGTATCCTCCACACTGCACATACAAGCTGTCCTGTATCCTCCACACTGCACACACAAGCTGTCCTGTAGCCTGCACACTGCACACATAAGCTGTCCTGTAGCCTGCACACTGCACACACAAGCTGTCCTGTAATCTCCACACTGCACACACAAGCTGTCCTGTAGCCTGCACACTGCACACACAAGCTGTCCTGTAGTCTGCACACTGCACACACAATCTGTCCTGTATCCTCCACACTGCATACACAAGCTGTCCTGTATCCTCCTCACGTGCACACACAAGCTGTCCTGTATCCTTCTCCATGCACACAAAAGATGTCCTGTAGCCCCTTGTAGCAACTGCATGTGCAGCTGGTAACTTGCTTACACCCCTCGAGCCTCTTTTCTACCCGTCCCAAAGTGAAGTGTGGTCACCATGGGAGACCCTTCAGCCACAGCCACTTTCCAGCTCTGTAAGCATGACCTGCTCCCCTTCCTTCTATCTTGCTTTGGGTCTGTATTAAAGTACTATCATCTTAGAGCCAATCAGACTAGCCAATCTGACGTGTCTCTTCTCTATCATGCACACCATTCATATCTGTCTTACTGACACTGATTGGTCCGCTTGTTCCCTGTCTCTTGCTTAGACAGCATTCCTTTATATTCCATACAGCCTAAAAATAAACTTGGTGGAGTTGGGAGCTGTATCTGTCTTTTCCCTGATCCTTCCTAACTGTTATCTGACCAGGATAGAGGCAGGAACTTGGGAAAGGTAGAAACGGGTTAGGGATGCGAGCTGCAGCTCTTTCCCACCTTCCCGAATCTGACCCTTAGTGTTTTGTTATTTTCAAACAGATGATACATAGGACGGAATTAAAAACAAAATAGTGTAGGCTGGAGAGTTGGCTCAGAAGTTAAGAGCTCCGTATCTCTTCCAGAGGTCCTGAGTTCAATTCCCAGCAGCCACATGGTGGCTCACAACCATCTGTAATGAGATCTGGTGCCCTCTTCTGGCCTGCAGACATGCAGTGAAGGGTACATCTATTGGTCAGATGTAAGTTTATTGTTTTATGAGAGGTGGAGAAGGCGTGACTTGAAGGCAGTTTGCCTCTGCGTCTCGAGTGCTGTTATTAAAGGTGTGAGCCGCCATCACTGCCCAGCTGAAGGCTTCTGAGGACAGTGAGGTTAGTTATGTACTTAGTTCATATATGGGCACATGAATCTTTTTATATAGTTGTACTCCTTTTAGAAATATACGTTTTTTAAATTTTATTTTTATGTATTTAGGTGTCTTGCCTGTATGTATATCTGTGTTTCACACACACGCTTGGTGCCTGAGGAGACCAGAAGGTAGATCCTGTGAGACTGGAGCTATGGATGGTTGTGAGTCACCATGTGTGTGCTGGGAATAGAATCTGGGCCCTCTGGAAGCAGCCAGTGTGTTGTTAACTGCTGAGCCATCTCTCCAACCCAGTGTTCTGTTCCTTCATATACTATTGCTCATACACATTCCCAAGCATTATGGTAACTCTCAGGTCAGTTATGGTAGTCCATACCTATAACCACAGCACTCAGGAGGCAGAAGAATTGTACGTTTGAGGCCAACCTGAGTTACATGGCAGATACAAGGTCAACCTTTGCTACGTGGGAAGACTCTGTCTCAAAGAAACCAAGATTTTCAAACATGCTCTCCAGTAAAACCTCAAGTAAGATGCCCGTCATTTCTTTAGTCCCTTTCAACTTTAGAGAGTTTGCATTATTTTAAGTTTTTCTCTACTGTGCAAAGGAGAGAATAACACACATTGTGCAAATTTACTCCTTATTTTGAGCTGTTCCTATCTGGCATATTTTACATTCTGGAATTACTAGGTCAGACAGTCGGAGCCGTTTTATAGGTCATTGTAATGGTTTATCCTG